TGATGGTAGAAATCAACTTAGACTCTTGAAAGATTATGCTGCGCCAATAGTTGAGGACACCACATCAAGCATCAGGAGACCTGCAATTCAAGCAAACAACTTTGAGATCAAGACATCACTGATTCAGATGCTTCAACAATCAGTGCAATTTAGTGGGGCTACCAAGCGATGATCCAAACGCTCACATCGATGCTTTTCTTGAAATCTATGACACAATTAAATATAATGGAGTTACAGATGATGCTATTAAATTAAGATTTTTTCCATTTTCCCTTAGAGACAAAGCTAAAGGTTGGCTCTCTTCTCTTCCTGCAGGATCGATCACTACATTGAATGATATGGCCCAAAAATTTCTTGGTAAGTTCTTTCCACCTGTAAAATCTGCAAAAATGCGTAACGATATTACTAATTTTATGCAGATGGATAATGAATCATTGTATGAAGCATGGGAAAGATTCAAGGAGTTTCTTAGGAGATGCCCACATCATGGACTACCCGTATGGATGCAGGTACAAACTTTTTATAATGGGTGTAATACAAATCTCCGTTCTATGATTGATGCAGCTGCATGAGGAACTCTAAATAATAAAACACCAGAAGAAGCCTACAACTTATTAGAGGAGATGGCATCCAATAGTTATCAGTGGCCTACTGAGAGGATACCAGTGCGCAAAGCTAATGGAGTTCATGAGGTGGATGCTTTCACGGCAATTGCCGCGCAAATTGAAGCACTCAACAAAAAGATAAATAATATGAGTGTTTCATGCATGAAAATTCAGAATATGACATGCGATTTTTGTGGTGGAGGACATGTTAGCATAGAATGTCACGTAGGTAATACTTTTGCACAACCAAATGAAAAATGCTAACTTTGTTGGGAATTTTAACAGATCACAAAATAATCCCTACTCCAACACGTACAATTCGAGATGGCGCAATCATCCAAATTTTTCATGGAGTAATTAGAATGTGACGAGACCGCCACCAGGATTCAAACAACCAGAAGAGACAAAGTCCAGTATGGAAGATTTAGTCACAAAACTTGCCAACACTACTTAGGACTTTATCAAGAGCACAGATGTGAGATTTCAGAACCAAGATGCTTCAATCAGAAATCTGGAGATGCAAGTGGGGCAATTAGCAAACATGATATCGGGAAAGACAACAGGGTTCTTTGCCTAGCAACACAGAGAAAAATCCAATTGAAAATGTAAAAGCTATAACCCTGAGAAGTGGTAAACAAGTGGGTGAAGAAGATGCTGAACAAGAGATTTCCAGAGACAAAGAAGAAGAGACCAAGGAACAACCAAAGGAGACAGGAAAGAGCAATTTTTTTCCGAATAATCCCAAGCCATATGTGCCGCCAGTTCCATTCCCTTAGTGACTCCAGCAGCATAAAATAGATAAGCAATTTTCTAAATTTCTTGATGTATTTAAAAAATCGTACATTAATATTCCTTTTGCAAATGCCTAGCTATGCAAAAATTTTGAAGGAGATTTTGGCAAACAAAAGGAAGCTAGAGGATTATAAAACTGGGAAGTTGAATGAGAAATGTTCAGCCATACTACAAATTAAATTACCTCCGAAGTTAAAATATCCATGAAGTTTTACAATTCCTTGCATAATTGAGGATTCTTACTTTGAAAAGGCATTGTGTGATTTAGGTGCAAGTATTAATTTGATGCCTTTCTCTGTTTTTAGGAAATTAGGATTGGGTGAAGTAAAAGCAAACACAGTGTCGCTTCAACTAGCTGATCGATCAATTAAATATTCGAGAGGTATTGTGGAAGATGTATTGGTAAAAGTTGACAAATTTATCTTTCCTGCAGATTTCATAGTTCTTGACATGGAGAAAGATTTTGAGGTACCACTTATCTTAGGTCGTCCTTTTCTAGCAATAGGAAGAGCTTCTTATTGATGTACAATAGGGGACGTTAATTCTTAGAGTTCAAGATGATCTTGTTTCTTTTAATGTTTTTAAAGCAATGAAATATCCATATGATGATAATTCTTGTTTTAGAGTTGATACAGTTGATAAGTTGGTGAATAAGGTTTTTCAAGAATATATTTTTAAAGATCCACTTGAAGCATATCTGGTTCCACCAAAAGACAGAGAAATTGAGAATGAGGAGATAAGGGAGTACGTAAATTTCATGGAGGCAAATCCAACATATTCAAGGCATAAGGCAACAAAATTTGAGGAGTTGGGACAACATACAACAAAGCTTAAGCCACCAATTGAAGAGCCTCCGATTCTTGAACTCATTGCCCTCTCATTTGAAATATGCTTATTTAGATGGAACTTCTTCTTTACCAGTAATTATATCTTCTTTGACAGATTTAATGGAGGAGAAACTGCTCAGAGTGTTAAGAGAACATAAAGGTGCAATTGGATGGAAAATAGCTAACATCAAAGGAATTAGTTCGAAAAACATTTTCCAAAAACATTACGTTTTCTGTGAAACAAACGCACCCTTAAACTCAACTTATCTTTCTCGCCCGCACTCAATCTCACGCTCACTCACTCCGCACTCTTATATCAGTTTAGGTATTGTTTTTCTAGATTTAGTTAAATATGAAAGTATTTTAGCAATATGAGTAGAGTCGGGTATGTGTCAAGAAAATTGCATTGGGCATAAATGAATCATAAACGGGTTAATGGGTCAATTTCGGTGGGATCATTTTTTACCTGACCCTAGACCTGTTAAAATAGGTCATAAACCAATTTCTTAACTCATATATTAGTAAATGAGTTAATTACATTTATTAAATGGGTCAGTTACATTTAGTAAATGGGTCATAAATGGATATATGTATAATATATGTGTTAAATGGGTCGTAAATAGATTATAAATAGGTTTACAATTTATTTAAACTCAACTGATCTTTTTCGCCCTCGCTCAATCTCGTGCTCACTCACTCCGCACTCTCATTTTAGTTTAGGTATAGTTTTCCTAGATTTAGTTAAATATGAAAGTGTTTTAGCAATTTGGATCGGGGTCGGGTATGAGTCAAGAAAATTGCATTGGGCGTAAATGGGTCATAAACGGGATAATTTGGGTCAGACCATTTTTTATCCGACCCAACCATTTAACAGGTCTACCCGACCCACCCGTTTAACAGGTCTAAAGCTAGTGACGTGGGATTATTTGAGATTGAGATAAATACTTATCTAGGCATATTGTTTGGTAAAATGTAAATATATTTGTTATTTCTTTGCATAGGGGCGGCGATCAAACTCTTTTCAGCATCTTGGGATGAATGAATTGAACGAGGGTGATTCCAGCTGAATGCAGGCCAAGATTTGTCTCAGAAATAAAAATAAAAAAAGAAATTATTTTACCAAACAAATTTCTATTTTAAACTTGTTCCCGAGAACAAAAAAAATAGAAAGACAGGGAAACAGAATAATTATATGGAAATAAGAATCATGGACATCGCCTACATATAGGAACGAGCTTACATAGGATAAAATTTAATTGGTTTTCAACAGGAATTATGACAACTCACCCATAGCACACCCCTCTACAAAACTGCAGCATGCACCTTGATAGAGATTAAACTATTTGCAGGAGAATGAATGAGGTCCTGCGGAGGTACCTTAGTCCTTACAATAACTAAGCATTCCATACAAATATGACTAATTTCGATGGGTAGTTTTCCCATATTAGAGTCGAATCTCACTCTTGATTTCATTAGTCCTCGACTTTTACTCTTTTAGACTTTCTTGTAGTCCATCAATCCGATTTCGATTAGCATATATCTAATAAGAGTGAGGTGAAGTAATGTCCTCTACCTCTAATAAAAGAGAAAATGACACAAACAGTCCCTGAACTTTGGCACGATGTGCAATTTGATCCCTGAACTTTTAATTTGTTCAATGTGGTCCCTGAATTTTAGCTTAATGTTCAATGTGATCCCTGAACTTTTGATTTGTTCAATGTGGTACGTTAAACATTTTTATATAGTTCAAGGACTAAATTGAACATGTACAAAAAGTCCAGAGACCACATTGAACAAATCAAAAGTTCAGGGACCACATTGAACATTAAGCTAAAGTTCAGGAATCATATTAAACAAATTAAAAGTTTAGAAATCAAATTGCACATCATGCCAAAGTTCATAGACTGTTTGTGCCATTTTCTCCTAATAAAATGTGGGAGCAAACTTCATGACATTTTAGCTCCGTTTATTTCGCGAAAAATAAATTATTTAGAAAACATTTTCTTAAAATTCGACTACAATCGAACTACATTCCCAGAAAACACCCAATGCACATGTTAATGACTAATTCCATAGAAAATACCCAACGCACGTCTTAATGACTAATTCCATCTAAAGGCATAGATCATTTCCGCTGTGACAACTAGAAATAGCCGATCATCATGTTGAATAGGAAGATAACTAAATGCAGAGGTACCTAGTCCTTACACTCAAAACAAATTTGACTAATTTCAATTGGTAGTTTTCCCATATTAGAGCTGAATCTCGATCTTGATTTCATCGGTCCTCGACTTTTACTCTTTCGGACTTTCTTGTAGCCCATCAATCCGATTTCGATTAGCATATATCTAATAAGAGTGAGGTGAAGCAATGTCCTCTACCTCTAATAAAATGTGGGAGCAAACTTCATGACATTTTTGCTCCGTTTGTTTCACGAAAAATGAATCATTTAAAAAACATTTTCCTAAAAACCAACTGCAATCGAACTACAATCCCAGAAAATACCCAACGCACATCTTAATGACTAGTTCCATCTTAAAGGCATAGATCATTTCCAATGTGAACTAGAAATGATCTATGCAAGAAGTAACTCTAACCATGGAGTGATTGACATATAACTTTCAAACATGCTCCCAGCTAGAGAGTAGAAGTTTAACCCAATCTCTCACAACTAGGGTTCCAGATGCACTTTATGTCTAACCAAAGATGGTTTCTTGTTTTCATCTGTGTCATTTCTTCACTCGGATTGATTCTCAATTCACGCATCCAAAAACAATTGAACCACGCAATGCTTGATAGCTACAAAATTAAAGCTAAGCAAATTTCCATGTGATCATACAGTTGTGTCACCTCATAACCAGTGCAGAGAAGGGAAAGATTTCCAAAAGCAAAAGAGAGCGCTACGCCTAAATCGAGACAACATAGCCACGCAAAGCATCTTAAACTAAAGCTCGATCAAGTTGATCCGTTCAGAAAGAAGAAATGACCGATTTAACTTTCCCTATAACTAAAACGCTAGGCATCACATGCAATTGTCAGAAGACAAAAGAAGAAAACAGTACTCAGCGAGCACCGTAGACCTGAGTAGAATCATACGCTAGACATCACATACATTTGTCAGAAGACAAAAGAAGAAAACATTACTCAGCGAGCACCATAGACCTGAGTAGAATCATACGCTAGACATCACATAATCAGAAGACAAAAGAAGAAAACATTACTCAGCGAGCACCATAGACCTGAGTAGAATCATACTGAGGATAACTGGCTTGAGCACTCACAGGAACACTGCCATAACCACCCGACTGTGCGACTGATTGGTCATAGCCCAGTTGTGCGGTTGGCTGTTGAACGTAGCCCGTCTGAGTCTGACTGTTAGGAGCGGCAGCATACGCAGCACCCGCACCCCCACCATAACCAGCATCTTGTGGTGCTTGATATCCATATCCAGGATTGGCTGCAGCCAGCTGGTCAGTGTATGATCCATACACCCCAGCAGTAGCAGGTTGACCATAGGCAGGAGCGGCTTGTACTTGCTGTGCATAGACAGCACCAGGCTGACTTCCATCTGTGGTAGGAGCGGACGCATATGTGGGATATGTCTGCTGCACGGCCGCACCTGCTGGATATTGGTATGCCTGCTGGGATGGCACGCTCGAGCCATACTGTTGGATTGGCTGACTGGACCCTGGATAAGGCATATTCCGCAGGTCGATTAGCTATTGGTAGGGGTGTTTGTAAAAAACCGAAGACCGATAAACCAAGCCAATACACCAAACCATATAATTTTGGTTTATCAGTTTAGTGGTTTGGTCTTAAAATTTTTGTTATTGGTTTATTCATTTGGTTTTGGCTTATAACTTTGGAAACTGACAAAACCAAACCAAACCGATAAGTTCAATAAATAAATTCATTTTCCTTTTGACTCACAATTTGTAGTTTAGCCCAACCAAGTTCATCTTATCTAAAATTCCCCTATACTATTAACCGAAAGATTTCCGCATCTCAAGTTAGCCATTATTGATTGATTTTTAGTCTCAATTACTTACGAAAGTGAGTTCTATGATCTTTTGTATATTTCCATTTACTTAAATGATATTTTTCAATGTTTCGATAATTTCATCTGATTGAATTGTGAATATATTCCTTTTTTTTAATAAGTATGTCGAAATAGGTTTTCACGTTAACTTTCCATCGCATGTTGATGTTAGATAGTCCAGATATCCTTTCAACGTCTCACTTGTAAATCCGCTTGATGGTTAACAGGTTGAAACCGACCCAAACCGATAACAAACCGAAATTATTTATTTGGTTTGAGTATACCTCCAAACCAAACCATGGACACCCCTACCTATTGGAGTGCCATAAGACTAACAATGCATTCCATGTCAGGGTATTCTGTATGAAGGAGGCTTACCATATTGTTGTGCATAACCAGGTTGGGAAGCAGCAGCAGTTTGAGAGTAAACCGGCCCCGAGTTTTGACCTCCATATGAGGGGTGTACTGGAGCATTATCGTACTTGGTTTCATCATATCCATGCCCATAATTCTGCTGAGGGTTCCCTGCCTGAGAGTAAGGACCCGGATGCCCATAATTTTGACCTCTTGGCTGCCCGTAATTGTAACCTGCTAATGACTGCGGTGGGCCAGATTGGCCAGCAAAATGTCCAGAAATGGATCCTGAGTGAGGCATACTTGCTGGATGTCCTCCATGTCCACCAAAGAAGTCATAGCTCCCACCACGAGGAGGTGGCCTTTGCTCCCAACCATGGCCAAAGCCACTCCTTGGAGAGGGATAACCACCGTAGGGCGTAGGAGGATATTGTGAATTCTGAGATTGATACCGTCCTCTTTGTTGGTAATCATATTGCACTGGCTGGGAAGAATATGGAGCACGTGGACCCCACTGTGGACCACCTGGCCCACGCGATCGATGAGCCTGCTGACCAGACAGAAGTGAAGGTCTAGGAGTCTAGGTAGAACAAAATACAAAACAAATGCTGTCAATATGAGAAAGAGATGCATTAATAACAAAAAATGAAGATAAACAGGAAATCTAAAGAAGTACAGGCTTCAAAATATAAAGGAAGAAAATACTAGCAAGGTCATTTAAGTTGATTAAAAGTGCATATGAGGAGGCCACTCGAAATGAAATAACAAGAAAGAGTCCTTAAGTAAAGGCTTCCATAAACAACCAGTATAATATTCAGATTGAATCAAGAAAATAGCAGACATATCCATGATATCGGAATCAGCCGAGAGGAATTCAAAACCACTACCAGAGGAAGAAAGTCGGCAATGATAAAAAAAAAAAAGTATACAACCCTTAAACAAGAGATGATGCATCTCATGAATTCTACGACATTCACAACCCATTGATCTAAACTTCAGTGACAAAAATTGTCCCTGAAAGAAAACCAATGGAAATAGAAAATAGTTCCACTATATCGACATTACCCACCATGTTACTTTTCCAGGCTAACAGTAGACAAGATTCTACAAACCTACGTTCCTCTATTCATTTTCCTTCATTCCTCGTCATATTCAGGAAAAGATATAATATCAGCAAGAACAGATGAACTCCTCAACAACTGCTTCAAAGGATCTTATAACTTGGAAAAACACAATGCTTTCTTCCTAAAGCAGTTCGAATAATCTCTTTCTTTATCCAAGAAACCAGAAAACGGAGGATGGGAGGTGCAACCCAGACAGCAAAAATGAATGTTCACATAAATACCAAAAATGCAAAAATGCATACATGTAAAAAGTAAATAAATAAATAAGAAAAGAAACCAGAGAATGTTCATCGATGGAAATGTGATATAGCATGAATCAAGAGAATTCTATAATTAATTATTAGCAAATCAAACTCCACTTAAACAGGCACTCCTGACGCTAATGTATTTATGAACATGATTGAAATGATAATGACCATAGATGTATAGACAATACTATTGCCAATTCTGCACCACAACATACTAGCCATCTCAACTTCCCACTAAGCATGTCTTCTATACAACAGGAACCCTCCTGACCCAAGGATCTCCGCAAATCAGACTGGAGGTACATGAACCACATGCTCCAAAATTTGCAGCCTGCTACTGAAAGAAGGTTTCAAAGCATGGCATGGTCGCACAGGAATTCAAACAAGATTTATATGGAATATCCCAGTCACTGAAGATCACTAAGGTTAACAACTAAACATAGTATAGGCTCACTGCATCATTTTCGCTTTTGAGTCTCAAAGCAATCTTACCAACTATTAACATTCTGCCACCCCGAGATATAATGTCGGATACCTCTCTTCAATGGATGAGAGAATAGAGTGGTCGTATATTGGTACACCAAGAAAGCAATGCGAACACCAAGGGAGAGGCAATAGCCCAATCTGCATTTTATAAGCCAACCAATTCGAAATTGGCACTTTCAACATAAAACAAATGATGGCAAGTGGCAACCGACATCGACCTTGGCATTAATTGTCTTTCATTCATTAACATGGACTCTGATAATTGCATTCTTCACACTTCTTACTCCTTGATTTTTCTCACAATCCAGAAAGGGGATCAAAGAAGCAACCAGAGTTGATTGAACAGGCAATCATGCTAGACTTCTGGATATAAGGACTAGAAAATTTGGAGGATACAGACGAAAATACTAGAGAAAGAAACAGTGTTTCTGCCCTGAAAAATTCATCAACTAGTTTTACAGATCTATACATGTTCTTAAAATCAACATATTTCTCTTTACTCTCATCTAAATTTCAACAATTACACTGTTATCATCTGTCACTCCACGGCAACTAGCCATAAATCATAGTTGCATATGAATTGAAATGAATCGCAACCCCCCCAGAAAACTGCCACAAAGACTGCATCCTAATACTAGAAACATATACAAGAGTCTACATCGAAATGCAAAACATAAAAGTGTCCAGTCTGCATTCATTCAAACTCAAGACCAACAGCACATTAAGGTCTACATATAGATGATTCAGCACATGGCGCCCAAAAAAATTCATGAGAGCTGTAACTCCAAGCTAGAGGTTCAACAATAGACAAACGTTTCTCCATCCAATTACGACTTAATTCTGATCGTGCTAATACTAAAAGCCTACCACCACAATCATGAAGGAAGAGCAGTTCTACTATCATTATTGTAATCAGTCTAGGAACGAAAACCAACAATCTAATAATAGGTTTATCCAATCCAAAGAATGCAATGAACTAACAATTTTTTTGTTTTCCCAAATAGACAGATAACTAGCTGACCTGTTTCATAACTTCTTTTATCATCTGTGTGGCAACATCAATTTGCCTCTTAGCACCAGTGATTCGGACAATTCTTTCCTTGGAATCATCTCCCTCAGGAAGATGTTGAGGTATCAACTACAGGAAAAACATACGTCTTGTAAGGCATAATACTTGACATATTATGTCCCAGAATTAGATGCATATCTGGCAATGTAAGAATAAGGTACATGCTATCAAGCACCTGTATGCGGGCCCCTGATCTTGTCTGCAGACTTTTGATTGTATCTCCACCTCTGCCGATTATTATACCGACCTGCACAAAGAAATAACCGTAAGACATGATAGGGAAGAAAATGTTCATTCAAAGAAGTTCACATGTTTCCAGTTAATATGGGTTTTTGCGAGAATGCTTCAATTAGACCAACGTAATCATCAATTATTATAGATTACCAAATAAAGCCTCAAAGTATAACCTTCTCATTTGGCACTTTTAGTTCAATTTGTTCTGCAGACCCCGGAACCTGTGCAGTTGCAATGCCTTTGGCTACAAGGGAAGGGGAACCACCAGCATCAGCCTGCAACCAAACTCACCAAAGTAGGTGACCGTAACAGATAGTTTGAGATTCAGAAAGCAAAAATCTCGCTTCAAAAATAGATGAAGTTAAAACATTAAGTTCAAATCAGATCAAGAACAAAAATCAAAACCAAACAAACTACCATGGGTTCCCACAGCCTAGACCTTGTAAGTGACATTTCATAAGTCTTTTGTCTTGTCGCCGTTGGGTTCATCAAATGCGAGTGCAAATTCAAAGCAACGGAGGAATAGAGGGTATCGCAATTATAAAAAGCAAAAGCAAAAGTAGGGAATGATGCTCTCACAATCTGTTTTGCTTGGAGGCTTGCTCACTCTCTCTCTTTGCCCCCTCCTCTCTCCCTCCCCTCTCAAGTAGTATCCTTGGGGCACTCATGGGGTTTTCCTATGATCAAGTTGAAATGATGATTGGCTTGTGCTAAAGGCCTCGTCCCCACTTGAGGTTCAGGCCTTTGAGTTCATTGAATTTGCAAATTAACAATACAACCTCAAGGTATCAAAGAATCTTCTTCCCAAGTATCTTAGATGCTGAATAATAAGGAAAAAAGTTCTTCAAGAAAAACTATCATCAATTCTTTTAATAAGACGTAGAGATAATTTAGGACATCGCTGGAGGTTACATCACTGTAGGCAATTCTATGGAATGGATCTATCAATTCAGCATATTAAATGCTCCTCTAACCTCACAAAAGTAAACTAGGGCAAAAAGGACAGATAAAGGAAGTGACATGCCAATAGAATCAATACAAACCTCTGCTATGACATCCCTAATAAGCTTCTCAGCCTTGCTAATGTTCTCCTTTGTTCCTGTTAGTTCCACAGGTCTTGTTACAGATGACATATCAGCTTCAGCATCCCTCACGATCTGAATTTTCACCCCTGAATTGTACTGCAGATACCGTATGGTATCTCCATTCTTACCAATAAGAACACCAACCTGCACATGTCAAACCTCAAACTTGTCTCTCAGCACATATTTTAAAAGAAAAAGAAAAACATGAAGCACTATCCATGCAAAAGAAGCCGTAATCAGCTTTACTAGCCAAAATTATGAAAGGTTCAGTGTTACAAGCTGAAATCTATCTATCCAGTTGATACCAGAAAGGAATATTTCATACTATTAAATTATGCATGCTTATGCTTCCACTTCCAGATCACTTTATTTATACATTGAATCAATCAGAATAACAGTACACTTTTGAGGTTGTGAATTTACATAAACCAAGAGAATGTGATCTAATAACAACCAATCATGCTTCTTCGAAACATTTCAAGCATTCTCTTTTATAGTTGATCATCAAAATTGGTATGTGGTGCATTTTACATATATAAACGCTGCTCGTGAAATAGAAGTGTTTCACAAATTGCCTTCATCACAATCGTTATATTGGTTGGAAATAACCATCATTTCATCAAGTAACCCATCAATGGTGATCGAAGTTTCACATCTTGAACTATATAGTTTTCGGTTAACTGATATGTTCATATACCACTCACTCTATCGAGAAATTTTCAAAATTCTAGTGTTAGTATACTACATCGTACATCAAAGTAAGAAAGATGTTCGTTTTACGGTTTTTTAGGTTCCAACTGAAATTTACCCAATTTCCATGCCAAGCCCCACATAGAAAAAATAAATGGATTGATTAATTTTTTTTTTTTCAAAAAGACAAAATCTACAGTTCAGTCGAAAAGTCAGATAGTTATCAGCAGTTCCGAGATTCTCCATCAAGCATTCCTTAATCTTCAAAGCCAAGCTTAGCAAACCCACTATCTATTGAACATGCGATTACTAGCCCAACTAACAGTGAGTTTTGACTAAGCTTAGGTTTTTATTATCTTCAGCCCCACACACTTCTCCATTACTCAAAAAGAAGCAATTATAGCATTCCATGCTAGCAGATGAATGGTAACACTAATCACCATGTCACAAACTTTCATATTGCTGTAAGTGACTTATTCCATTTGATTTGTAAAATCCTATCATTTTCCAATTAAATTGTACGACTGACTTTCTGAGACCTCAACAATCTTGGGTAGAAAAGTCATCCTACCCACCTTTGCTTTAATCGGGAAAATTAGATGAACATGTAGTTTAACGAGTATTCTACACAAGTAGTTGAGCAAACGCACCTTACTGTTGGGAACCTCAATTTTGTGTGTCAAAGTATGACCATCATCAGGTGCTTGCTGCTGTTGGGCATAGACATCCTGTTCATTAATGTCCATCGTCGTCACAACTTCTACCTCGGAAGTTCCGTGGGCATTGTCCTGAGATTCCTTGTCAAGATCTCCCGCACCATAATTGTCCACGGACTTAGTTTTTTCGTCATCTGCAATTACTTCACTCTCCTTTGACTGGCGTTGAGCCTCAGCCTCCTCAACCTCACTACTATCCAAAGTTGTTGCTATACCATTTTCCTGCACAGGCTCGTCTCCCTTCTCATGCTGGTATCCATTTCCATTAGCTATCGCCATCAAACAAATAACAACTCATTAGGTGGAACGATCGGTAACCCTGGAACTCAAATTGCTCGGCAAGAGACATCTCCAACCACATTTCAGACACCCACTCACATATTTCACCAAACCCTCACCATCAAGACATTGAATCCGCAGCTCACAAGTTCCAAGGACACAGAACGAACATAATCAAACAGAACCCGTAAACCTAAGGCGTGAATCAATAACAACCTCAATACTCACGGAACTCGAGTGGCGACACAAAATGAGATCAACAGAGAAGCCCTAGGTAAGACGACACCGCGGACAGAAGTACCTGAAACCTCGGGGTCGCCGTCGAGGCGGGGACGCTTCACATCTGCAGAATCGGAATCCGCCGCCGCCGCTGCCGCCGCCGCCGCCGTGGGCGCGCAGTCGTCTGCGGCATCGGGCTCGTCGGCGGGTTCTAGGGTTTGGTCGGCCTCCACGACGTCGTCGAGCTTCCGCTTGCGATCCGAAGGCGGCGAGATCGCCACGACCTCCTCGTCCGCCATTGTCATTGAGAGAGGGAGCGAGCGCGAGAGGCGAAGGTCGATCAGTGCAAAGCAAATTTGCACCTTCTTGTTCCGCAGAGAGAGAGAGAGAGAGAGAGAGAGAGAGAGAGACTGTGTATGCTGAAGAACAGATGAAGGTTGAACTGAGCAGATACGAGAGCGCCTTTATGATATTTTTGCGGGTTACAAAACGGGCCGGGTCAGCCTGCTAAAAGGATCAGTAGCGGGCCCTGCCTGGCCCATCCCACACAATGGTCCTAGTTGGCACGGCTAGGGATGATCAATTTCAGGGTGAGCCGGTTCCCATATTAAAATCTGGAACTGGACTGGGTAGGGTTGGTTTTCATTTGTGGAATCGGGAACTAGCCCACCAAGTCCTGGAACCGAACCGACCAGGGTCCGTCTTGGAATAGATTATTTCTTCTTCTTCTTCTTCTTCTTTTGGTTTTTTATATTTTCTATCGATGCGTTTGGTCGTCTGAATTTCTAACAAGAATATAATTAGACAGAATAGGATATGAAATCCAAGGGATTTGTTATATTCTATTTACTATTTGGCGAATCACAGTAATAAAGCCGAATGTTTTCACATATTACCATGTCCATTATTTGCTATGAACAGCATATCAATGGAAATGAACTTGAAAATTGTATAAACAGAAATTATAAAAATTTCTCACGACACTCTTACCTACTTTATTTTTATTTGCTTATCTTTTATTATTTTCTTTTTTATTTCTTTTTTCCCTTTCTATCATTCTCTAATAAAATTTTATTAAATAGTAAACTATACAAATATACCAAAATGTAATAAAATATAAATACTAAATGTATATATATGAGATTTATATAATAATTAGAAAGAAAAATGAATATATAAATAAAAATAAGAATAAAAAACGAATTTATTGTTATTTTTTTGTTATTTTGAATTTTATATATTCAAATTCAAATTCAAATTCTTTTTATATTCAAATATTATTTTAATTTTATTAATTTAACAATTTATGTTTGAGAAAAAATTAAAAATCATATCCATGTTTATCCCACCTCCTCCATAGGATAATTTTATCTGGGCTATATTTCTCTTATATCCGATTTTATCTTATTTTGGGCAGGCACCAAACACGGGATAGAATAAAATCTATCTTGTCCCGAATTTTATCCCGACTACCAAATGTAGCCTACGAGTGGGAGTTTCCCAACGTTAAAAGAAAAAAAACAATTTACTAATTAAGTTTTGTTTCGGAGTAAAAAATTTAAAAAAATTAAGAAATGTTGGCCCGTTTGTCGATCTGGACGGATCCCTTGAGAACCACCCTGAACCGATCAATTTGGTCCGGTCCGTTTCGATTCCCGCGTTGAACCGGGACCGAAGCACGCTTCTAAGTACAGCTCATTGAGAGACGGATTGTGCCGTGCCATGCTCGTGTCGGATTAAGCCCGTTCATGGGAAAAAGGGCGATTGCGTGCCCCCATTTATCAAGGGCCTTAAAAGTCTTCCTGATCGAGAACAAGCCCGTGCTTGGCAGCAAACGAGTCAGCTCATTGACGGAACTTTTCCCCTTTAGGTTGTTTTTGGAGAACACCCGAAATCTCATTTTCACGGTGCAACTTTATAGATATTTGCAGAGGATATAGATATTTTTTTGCCATGAAAACATAAGGATCGCGCTTGAAGTGACATAAAATTTCTAATGAAATACAACTTGAAAAAACCGCTGACCACACATTTCCGGGCGAAATTACGGGGATGCCCCCCTGCGTCCTGGAAGAACCATGGCCACCCATTATTCTCACTGGCGCGAGAGCGGGAGAGCGTTGCAAAAAAGAAAAACCGGTGGCCAGAATTAACGGTCGACGTCGAGCTGCGCGAACTGAACCGAAACTGGAACTCCCCCGGGCTCCCTCCTGCTCAATCTTCGAGTCTTCCGACTCCTCCACTCGCCGAGTCGCCGCGCCGCCATGATCACCTGCAGACCTCCGCGCCTCAGCCTCGAACCCCTCTCGAAACACCGGCTCCCCCGCCCCGGGAGAAACGGCCCGCCGCCGCGCCCCGACCCCGCCCTACGCAGCCGATGCGCCGCCGTCGTTCGCAGCGTGAGGAACAGCGGCAGCGGCAGCAGCAGCAGAGGGAGGAAAGAAGGCGGTGTTAGCGGCGGCGGCGGCGGCGGGTGCTACGAGAGCAGAGAGAGGGAGGGACTGGAAGGAGGAGGAGGAGAGAGGAAGGTGCATTGCGAGGTGGAGGTGATATCGTGGAGGGAGAGGAGGATCAGGGGCGAGATCTCGGTGATGGCCGACGTCGGATCGGTTTGGAACGCTCTCACCGACTACGAGCGCCTCGCCGATTTCGTCCCCAATCTAGTCTGCAGGTAAGAAGATTGCACTTTTGGGTTTCCTAGTTTCCGCTTTATTTGCGGTATCCTTTGATGCTCAAGCAAGGAACAATGCCTGGTTAGTTTGTTCTCGTGTGGGTATGGTTCTCTTGGATGTCTTATCTTTTGGAATGGGATAGTTGATTGTACTTGTGGCCCGCTTGTTTCATGGTTGATGCTTGTTATCTGAAGAAAGAGTTCTTAAAAGAGAAAAAATTGTGCAGCGGGAGAATCCCGTGCCCGCATCCCGGGCGGATATGGCTGGAGCAGAGAGGCCTGCAGAGGGCATTGTATTGGCATATCGAAGCTCGGGTCGTCTTGGACCTTCAGGAGTTCGCCAATTCAGTGAGTATCCTCGAATTGCCTCGATTTTTTTCTCCTTTTTTCCTTGCTTGTTTTAGTATGAATTTTAGTGCTTCGTGATTAAGTAGATCAAGAAAAGTAGATATCTATGGATCGAGCCGAAAACCCAATAGCACCATTGTAAATCGTTTGGGTCCTAGCACGACAAATGCTACACGGATGACAATTCTACATCGACCCAGCTGAGATAACATGCTTCCCTCTTTCGGCCTTGTCGTATGTGTGCATCTCCCAAAAAAGACTTCACACATATATGCATTTTTTTGTCCCTGAATGTTCTGTGGTGCTTACATAGAACATGTTATTAATAAAGCACAATTGAAAAGGGATTGTTTTGTTTTATCTCGCTGAACTTCCTGTATGTATGTTGAAATTTAAATAATTCGGCAGGCATTGTAACTTCATCACTGTCTAATTTTTTTGTTTTATTATAAATCATACGCCTCAGGCTCCAATGGGGAAATGATATCAGAATACATGCCTCCTGTCAAATGTACGAACGGATATATTTTGAAGACATTAACATAAGTTCTCGTCTCTGCTAGAATTAGTCCAGAAGACGTAGAAATCAACTTGATATTTGCATTCTTTTCTTTGGTATTGCTTGTCCTTTTTAACTTTCATTATAATATTAATAGAGAATTTAATCTCTCTCTTTTTAGGTTTCATTAAATTTTCTGAACAAGTTAGAAACTGAAACATGCGTGCGTAGCTGTTGGACTCAATTTCGTGTGTTGCATTGATGTTACATTTGCAATAGATAGGTGGAGCTTCATCGATTATTGAACTATATATTTGAACCAACCTCGTTATGCAGGATAATGAGCGCGAACTTCACTTTTCCATGGTGGATGGAGACTTTAAGAAGTTTGAAGGCAAATGGTCTTTAAAATCAGGGCCTAGGTGAGATTATTTGTGCTTATGTTCAAAACCATGTTTAGGTTTCTTTGTTCTTGCTCTATACTTTTACATCGGGAAAGCATTAGCCGGCAAGTTTCTTTCTTCTTTAAAAGGTAAGTTAACATCAAAAGTGTGGTTTGACTAGACCCACTACAAGCCAATTGTACTATTCTAAACCAACAAACCAGCCGCATGGCAGCAAATACATGAATGAACAGTATGACATTGCGACAAGCTGCAACTAATCATAATGAATGTGCGAATGAGCTCATAAAATGGGACTCCGTTAGGTCTGGGGTCCGATTCCTATCTTCCCTCCCTGAGCTATCCATCAAAAGAGTGCATCCAGTAATCATCCTATTTACATAGATTTCAAATTCACAGGTTGTCAGTGATGAGAGTTCTTGTTTGTTTAACTGGTAAAATCTAATAAGAGAAAAAAAAAAAAAAAAAAAGGTACAAGTGCCACCAACATAACAGCTGTCGTTATGCAGGATCTTGGGCAGTCAGTCCTGTCTATAGTTGCTTTAATATAATCTCTCTCATTGTCTGACTGCAATCCAGATGATCAAGAATTTACTTCTGTCTTATTATGTGCGTATCCTGTCTGGATATATGAAGGATGAAGGAGTCTACAATGCTTGTGTTACATGATTTCAAGACTTATTATAACGAAATTTGGGGGTTAAATGATCTTATGCCACAAATAGGGATTATTTTTTCGACTAGTAAACAGAGAAGAATATTGTAATCTTGTGCAACGTCTCTGCAATTAATCCTGTAGCAACTTCCCTAATTTTCTCTTTTGATCTCTCTGCTATTGCAGATCCTCGACAACTTTGTCATACGAGGTAAATGTGATACCACGCTTCAACTTCCCAGCTATTTTCCTAGAAAGGATCATCAGGTCAGATCTGCCGGTAAATCTTCAAGCCTTGGCATTCAGAGCTGAAAGAAATTTTGAGGGAAATCAGAAGTTGGCATCGATGACGAGTTATAGGGACAGAGCAATCAATGGTGCCGTTACTTCCATTGGCCCTGACCTGGACAATAAGGTGCAAACTAGAGACATCACCAGTGCTGATGCTGGTCAACTGCCTGTGTCATCGACTGAGCTGACTAGTAGTTGGGGCGTGTTTGGCAAAGTTTGCAAACTCGATCGGCCTTGTGTGGTGGATGAAGTTCATCTCCGTAGACTCGATGGCCTATTGGTAACTGAATGACAGTTGATATTAGAATATTCTTTATTGGCTTTTGTTTAGGGAGACTAATTTTGTTTAGGTGAATTCTGATAGAATGCTGTTTTGGGCTGAAGGAAAATGGAGGCGTCCACCGATGTGTCATTGCTAGCATAACAGTAAAAGCTCCTGTTCGCGAAGTCTGGAATGTCTTGACTACTTATGAAAGCCTTCCTGAGTATGTATCTCTTACTCATGCTTCTTATTACTTTAGTTGGATAAGGAATTTGACTCTTGCTCTCTCGTTTTTGATAATACTTGTACAGTATCAGTGTTTTCAACATTGCTTAAGCATTTAATGCAGGATCTTTTGCACGTCTGATTTTTATGCTTACAAGTTTGTGAGGGAATAATATTGTAGTTAGTTATTTTTGAGCCCCAAGAGAAAATCTAGAAATCCTTCATCACATAAACCATTAGCAAATTAGGATTCTAATGTTGAAACTTTTTTACACTTTATAAGTGTGGGGGACATGCATACGTGACTATGTCTTTAATTGGAAATTAAATATTTACGAACAAATTTTTTGGTGACTTCAGTAATCATTTTATGTATGTAGGTGCTTGTGTAATCAATATTCTAGGGACAAATTCTGGCCTGACCCCCATGTAGTTCATATCTAACTTATTATTTGTAGCTTGCTGTCGTTTAATTATCAACTTGTTGTTCAGCTGTCCAGGCAAAAAGAGAAAAAGAATCATATTTAACTAGCAATATGACAGTCAGTGAGCTAATTACATGCATGATTACAAATGAAGATCTAGTAACAATAAATGAGAAGATGAAAACTCTAGAGAAATACAAGTTCATATATAGGACCTACAAAAAAAGCTAAAAGAACGTGGGAGAGCATTAAATGGTATATATTTTATACAGTCATATACTTCTTTGTGTTCTAATACCCCTGTCAGCACTGCATCAGCCTAAATTGTCTTCCTGAGCCCTACTTTTTTTCAGGATAGTTCCAAATTTGGCCATCAGCAAGATTTTATCACGAGAAAACAACAAAGTTCGCATTCTTCAGGTACATAGAAGAACTCTTTTAGTCTATTTGGTTCAATAGATAGAAAGTTGCTTTGGAAGCATATTCAAAAATTTTAATGATGGATGTTCTGCCCCAGTTTGTAGTTGTTTCTCGTTCAAACTACTTGATATTATCCATGATACTGTGTCCATATGACAAATGCAATCTGTCGAGTCTACTTCAAAAGGTTGTGTGATGACATTTACAGGAGAAGGTCCACATGTCAATAAAAGTGGGCACGGTTATATTGGGTCTTTTTCTTTTTGTTTTTCTATTTTCTCTGATCCCTATAGAACTTAGCTTTTCCAAGCTGAATGTCTTTCCAATGAAAAACCATAATCATAGGCAAACTTTTTGAGCTGAAACTATTACTGGTTAGATGTATGTCTTATTTTGGTAGTAGACGCTACAAATTAGCAGCCAAGATATGTCATCTGGGCTATTACGCATGCTTTGTGTTTCAAAAACCAATACAGAAAACAATTCATGTAAACTGGGGCAGATATAATGTCTTCAGGAAACTATTCGTTTGAGGAATCACTCGGATAATTCATGGTTCAAGTAAGAAAACAGTTTTTTATGCATCATTCCTTTGGAGAATTTGTTCTTCTCTCTTCATCATATAAATGGATTGGGATGCAAGGTTACATCATCAAGCACCATAAAAAACACAGCATTGAAAAAGTAAAACTATACAATACCTACTAACAATTGAGACACTGCAAAATCTTAACTGGGTGACACTTTTGATATACACATCTTCGATAGACACCTTGTCCAATGAGAATGTCGTGACATGTTTGATACCTATAAATTCTGTTATAACTTCCTTGTCATCTGCTTGGACTTACATGGTTTCCTGCTAAATTCAACTTTGCTTCTAATTGATTGCAGGAAGGATGCAAAGGTCTGCTGTATATGGTGCTCCATGCCCGTGTTGTTCTGGATTTATGTGAACATCTGGAACAAGAGATTAGTTTTGAGCAGGCCGAAGGGGACTTCGACTCCTTTCAGGGGAAATGGATTTTCGAGCAACTAGGAAATCAACATACGTTGCTGAAGTATACTGTAGAGTCAAAAATGCACAAGGATTCGTTTCTTTCTGAAGCTATTATGGAAGAGGTTTGATTTTACTTCAAATATTTCATTGCATAGATGTTCTTTTTTCTTTGCAATATTGCATAGATGGTCCAAAGCTACTGTTATGTTTAAGAGTCTTATGATTACAGTGTCCTCTGTTCTCAAAAATAGGGAAAACAAGTTCATGGTGTTTGGTATGGTATGTTCATTTTAAGAAGTCGTCTGAAAGGAATGAACAAGCCTCATTTCTGAAAGCGGCTTCCACTTCTTTCTGTCAAAGATTCAAGGATGTGATTATAATACAACAACAGAAGATACTGGGACTAGAATAACTTTTTTTAATTAGAAAATTTCACCATTGATCATTATCCACACAAACTTATCGTCAAAGTGAATAAAATTATTTTGTTTCTACCCAACGAAAAGTTATGTTGTAGACTCATCACCAGATTAAGTGTTGTATGTCTATTGATACCATCGTCCTCCTCAGAAGATGTGAAATGTATTAATAGTGGTTTTCTGACTCATTAGGTTATTTATGAAGATCTCCCTTCAAACCTCTGCGCGATTCGGGATTACATTGAGAACAAGGGCACAACGGTAGCTGACTCAGAAACAACCAGTGAAAGTAGTCTCTTCAGCGAGCAAACTGCTTCACCTAGCATGGATGAAAACACTTCTTCCAGTGCTACAGCTGAGGATGTTTCCAACTATGATGATGACTTATCATCGCAAAGACCGAGAGTTCCGGGCCTGCAGAGAGACATTGAAGTTCTGAAAGCTGAACTCGTGAAATTCATTTCAGAGCGTGGGCAAGAAGGATTCATGCCCATGAGGAAGCAACTCCGTTTGCATGGTAGGGTCGATATTGAGAAAGCAATCACACGCATGGGCGGATTCAGAAGAATTGCATCGTTGATGAATCTTTCCCTCGCTTACAAACGTCGCAAACCAAAGGGATACTGGGACAACCTTGAAAACTTGGAAGAAGAGGTGGGTTAAGCTTGTAATATATTCCATTAGCGGACTTCATTTCTTTCATTTGAGGTTAGGATTTCCATTGTTGTCAACGATGAACATTTGTGAACAACCTACTCTTTGTTTCCTAGGTTAGAGAAGATGGTTTTACTCACTTGTTAACTTGGAGATCATGCTACTACATGATACATTGATTAGGATCATTTTTTTGTACTTGCAGATACGTCGATTCCAGAGAAGCTGGGGAATGGATCCCTCGTACATGCCTAGTAGAAAATCTTTTGAGCGTGCAGGTATGGGCCACAAAATGACTGATCCCTCGATTTTATTGCTGCATTTACCGGAGATGCCATTGTACAAGCAATCTTATAGATGCTATGAAAGTGCTGATTTTTTTTTTTTTTTGCAAGCTCTTGTCTCTGTCTCCTAAGCTTTACTCATTAACCCAGTAAATTGAAACGATATTCTGGTCTTTAAAGCTTAAGGGCCTATTTGAGAACTCTAACTCAGATCAGATGTAGTTCTTCTTCTTATTGCCATAGTTTAGGACTTTCAGTTTTTTCTCTTTAAAGATAATGCATTTCCAGTTTCACCCATGACTTTCACCATGGGGAGTCTTGAACAAATAATATGAAGATGACATGATAGCTAATAAAAGTGCATTCAAGGAAGTTTCTGGTTAGGTTAGATAGGTCTATGTATATGGTGTAACTATTCCAGTGAGGCATTGAGTAGGTGGATCTCACATGATCCAGTAATGGGTGCTCAACCATTCAAAATAAGAAACAGGAATCATCTGGTTGATCTTGTATCTGGTGAATACGGAAGAGCCAATCCGTTGGACGCTGGTGGAAAAGCGGTAAGCAAGACTAGTGTTAAGTCATCTCTATCCTAGGATTACACCATTCGGCCATGCTTATCTAGTGCACGGCTCTAATTGCGCTATTTGATCCCATAAAAGAAGCATTTGTTGGAATGGCTAAATGCAAACCAAGCAGGGAAAAACATGCAAACTGAGTTGGCTGTGGATATTTTTATTACAGTTTAACCTCTTCTTTAGTTTCGAAATGAAAAATTATCTTCGAGTAAATGTGGCTTCTCTGGTTTGCAAAAGATGAATTATCAACATGGTGAACCATGACGTGACTCATATTTCTATTATGTGGTGGTACAACTCTATTGTCCATTTAGATGCTAAATAATCTCAGATTAAACCATTCTTCCATCCTAACATGCTACAAATGTTCTGCAGGGAGATATGACATTGCACGCGCGCTAGAAAAATGGGGAGGCCTTCATGAAGTATCTCGTCTTTTGTCCCTGAAAGTTAGGCACCCAAATAGACAACCGGGACTTGCTAAAGACAAGAGAGCAGATCCTGTAGCAGCTACCGATGTAGAGGTCGAGGATAGGTCGACATCTAAACCCTACATTTCACAAGATACTCAAAAGTGGCTTTCTCAACTTAAACATTTGGACATTAACTGGGTTGAATGATGAGTGATTTTGGCGCGGAGATGTCCTCTTTCCCTCAAATATCATTGCCTATAGTTTCTCACCAGTATATTGGATGAATTACAATTCACCCTCCAAGTTGCCTCCTGGTGTTCTAATTTTTTGCAGTTTGCCGTCTGACTTCTTGAAATAGGTTGCAATGTGCTGCCGTTATTGGCTCCGGCCTGATTTTCCTTGGAGTTGCGACTACATGACTGCACATGATTAGTTATGGATGGCAAATAGGTAACATGTGATATAGGAACCAGAAATATACTATAAAGTTATTGGGCCACGTGGTAAAACTATGGCACATGTCTTGTCACGTGGCAATGATAGAGGCAAAGTGAAGTGTCCTTTGATGTTTCGCAGCATGTTTACAGCTTAAAGGAACAAAAAAACAGCCTGTACTTTGGCCCTATGTTTACTTTTGCAAGCGCGGAGACGGTTTGGGACAGCCCCCTTTACTCTCTCATCATTTGAACTTCACCTTGTTTTCCTAGAGAGGTCACTGGTCTCATCGCACTTGTTCTTTACCATTCCAATCGACGCATTCACACTTTCTTCCTCAAATCCTTCGAGGAGCATATCGGCAATCTTTATACTAGTAGTTAATAGGGGTGTCAATCAAATCCGCGCCGGTCCGGCCCGATTCGCGCCGGCCCGGTCCGGCCCTAAAATTTGAGGTATTTTGGGGTCGGGCCTTAATTTTATTCAAATATGACCCTAAAATTTGGGGTTTCATTAAAATTGGGGTATTTTAAGATCGGCCCATTGACACTCTGGGCCGACCCATCTCCCTCTCTCTCAGTCTCTCTTCCCTTCTCTCTCCCCTCTCTGGCGCTACGCCGCCGCTCCTCCCCCCTCGCCGTCCCCTGCCGCCGGTCCCCCGGCAAGCCCCTCCGCCTCTCCACCGCCGCCACCCGCGCCGCCATCTCCGTGGGCGACAGGCTCCCCGACGCCACCCTCTCCTACTTCGACCCCGCCGGCGAGCTCTAGACCACCACCGTCTCCGCCCTCACTGCCGGGAAGAAGTCGATCCTCTACGCTGTCCCGGGGGCCTTCACCCCGACCTCGCCGCGAAGCACCTGCCGGGGTTCGTGGAGAAGGCCGGGAGCGAAGGCCAAGGGCGTGGGCAACATCGTCTCGCCTCTCCGTGAATGACGCCTTCGTGATGCGGGCGTGGAAGGAGAACCTGGGCATCGGCGACGACGTCATGCTGCTGTCGGACGGGAACGGGGACTTCACGAGGGCGATCGGGTGTGAGCTCGACTCGAGCGACCAGCCGGTGGGGCTCGGGTGCGGTCGCGGCGGTGCAGCGGCGCTCGCGGAGGACGGCGTCGTGAAGGTGCTCAACCCGCGGGAAGGCGGGGCCTTCACCTTCGGTGGTGCCGAGGATATGCTCAAAGTCCTGTAGATGCTTTCAAGTTTCCATTTTTTTTCTTTTCTTTTTGGGGCTTTGAACTTGGCTGTCGTTGGCTGGTGTTGAGGGGTGGGGTTCTTGTTGGGTTTTGAGCCTGATGAAGTTTTCGTTCCTGACTTGTGCCTAATAAATTGAGATGGAGTTGGAACTGCGGTTTGATGCAGACACAATAAACAGGGATTTTGCTTCTGGGATTCCAAGATGTTGCCTTTCTTTTGTATTGATTTCGTGAGGATGATGATGTTGTTCCTGAGTTCAGCAGTATAAGAGTCAACGGGTGTTCTGGTGCTGGGAATCACATTGCGAATTGCGATTCATAGTTGCAAAAAAAAAAAAAAAAACCCAAAGCCCGGCCCGACCTGACCCGGCCCAGCCCCGGGCCTTGGGGTGTACGGTGAACAGGGTCCTGGGTGGGTCTGGGCGGGTCAAGTATGACCCTGTAGGTTTTGAGTCGGGTCGGGTATCAAGAAAGCCCGACCCGACCCGACCCATTGACACCCCCAGTAGTTAATACAAATTGGATGTACTCGAAGATCTAGCCATGCACAACGCCACATTCGGGATTACTATTCTCCGCCCAAAGGAAAAGCATCACGGACGAAAGCTCTTGTCCAGGTCACGAGAAACAGTCATCGATCAGATTATGCCAACAACTTAGAACGGTTGGTCAAACAGGTTGTTCTATGGTATTCGATCGAATTACCTACCCTAGGGGCAGCCCGCAAAGAAAAAGTCATTCAAGCAGAGGCATGAAAAATGAGACCTTACTATCGACACATTAGGAGAACCAAGTGATAAGTTTAATAATTATGTTAGTTATAGGCCACCACCTCCATATCCTCGAAATATTGCTCCTACTAGATGGGGAGAGGAGTTCGACGGACTACCTCCGGAAGACACCGATTCATCCACACGCCCACTCGCCGCTGGACATTGAAAATACCTTATAACCCGCCAGAGGACCAATGATTCGAAGCCTAGGAGATACAAGGACAAGGGGGCAGCATGTCCAGAACTCAGAAAAGAAGAATGTAAAGAGAGAGAAAAAAAAAAAATAAAAAATATATATATATATATATATATATTTAAATTGCAACAACAAATCAATGAAGTCCAATTAGCCAAGTAATCCATCTTCAACTTAGGGCGCGAATGATAACTATTTTGTTTCTCTATTTTTCTATATTTCTGTTCCTGGAAATAGAAATCCGCTTAGCAACACAATTTCATTTTTTTTTATTTTCAGGACAAATTTTTAGCCTAAAAATAGGTTTGGAACATAAATGAGAAGTATATTTTTTTTTACTTTTTTATTTCTAGAATAGAAATAGAAATAACAACTCTCTTTTATTGCTTACCCTTGCTGCCTCCCGTCGCCCGCTGCTCGCCTGCCTGCCGTCCACCACCACCTGCCTCCACCCTGCCGGCTGCTGGGAGAAGAAATTTAAAAATAACCTATCAAATAAATTTTATTCCGGAACATAAATTTTGTTTCGTTATCAAACGTTATTTTTTGCTTAGAAACTCGCCCAAGAAATCTAGAAATAGGGTCAGGGAAGAGAATGATTATTATTATTATTATTTTTTTTTTTTGTAACCGAGGATCCGCCACCATTCCCCGGGGACGAGCCCGCATAGGTAATCGGAGCGCCTATACCTCGGGGGAGACTAGCCCAACAACCCACCGCCATGGCCCTCCCACTTAAATTACGGAACCGAGCGGAGATTCGAACCCAGAACCTCTGAGGAGGGAAGGAAAACGCCCACCAACTCGGCCATGCGTAGGTGGGTGAGAATGATTATTTTTTTTTTGGGTAATGTGAGAATGATTATTATTATTATTATTATTATTTTTTTGGTAACCCAGGGAACCCCCGCACGGCCGACAGCCGGGAGGTAAACCCTGGGGGCGACAAGTGCTAGCCACCACACACGTGCACCGGTTAAGTCACCCTGCGGCGCCCGGGATTCGAACACTCAACCTTTTGCGAGAAGAAGAGTGCCCTTTCCAGCAGCACCACCCAGGCGGGTGGTAGAGAATGATTATTATTATTATTATTATTTTTTTTTTTTGGTAACCCGGGAACCCCCCCCGCACGGCCGACAGCCGGGGAGGTAAACCCGGGGTGACGCTAGCGCAGGACCCACCACCACGACGTCACGCTTAAGAATCCCTAACGCCAGCGCTGGAATTCGAACTCCTACCCTTCGTGGGGGGAGGGGAGCCCGAAGCCAGCGCAGCCGCTGAGGGCGGTGGTGAGAATGATTATTATTTTTTTATTTTTTTTTTTGGTAACCCGGGAACCCCCCGCACGGCCGACAGCCGGGGAGGTAAACCCGGGGTGACGCTAGCGCAGGACCCACCACCACGACGTCACGCTTAAGAATCCCTAACGCCAGCGCTGGGATTCGAACTCCTACCCTTCGTGGGGGGAGGAGAGCCCGAAGCCAGCGCAGCCGCTGAGGGCGGTGGTGAGAATGATTATTATTCGCGTCTGTATAAACCAAAAAAGCTCATAGCAAGAAATTTGGTCCGGAAGAGGAAACCTGAAGAATCAATCCAAACTGGTGATAAGCCAAAGGAATCAGAATCTTTGAAGGTGGACAAATCTGAGCCAAGACCTGCAGCTCTTTCAAGGTCAATGTCGCCAGCGAGTTCGTGTATGGTCCAAGCTAAGCTACCCTCGACATTCAAGGGAGCATCGATGAGAATGGCAAAGGATGAAGATGCAATCATCAATCAAGAGGAGCATGCTGAGTTCCAATTCACTGATGAGGAGACAATGGAATTGGAAAAGCTACCAGCTTATAACTCTAGGCATCTTAAATCTAGCAATATATCGGCCAATATTAACGGTAGACTTGTACCTTAAGTTCTGGTCAATGGTAGATCTACACTGAACCTTATTCCTTACAAGTTCTTCAAGAAGCTGGGGAGAATGGATGAGGAAGTCACCCCCTCGAATGTCCAACTCTCGGACTTCACTGGAGAAGTGAGTGAAGTGAAAAGGATGCTCTTCGCTAACCTCACAGTTGGATCGAAGACTTCAAATACCTCTTTCTTTGTTGTCGAAGCTTACGGATCATATAATATGTTGTTATGAATAGACTGGATTCACAGGAATCAATATGTGCCATCCACCTTTCACCAAATGCTAGCCTTTCGGAATAGGGATAAGGTTGAGTATGTTAAAGATAACCATAACGCGTTTATAACCTGGGCACATGCACTAAAAATGAATCGGGATTGTAAAAGGACGATCACCGATAATTTATGCAATATGGAACCCTCAAGGGCTAATCCCACAGATCTAGCTTTCTACCGCTTCGACAAAGGGAATGTTGATTGAATTCCTAAAGACAATTGAACGGGGTTGTCCATGAAGAACCTTATATTGTTGGATGACCTCGATGAGAGGAACGCGAACTACTTGGCCGAGCGCACTGAGCAGTCTATTAATGCCGTTGATTGTATAGCAGATTTTAAAGAGTCACCACTTAAAGTAGATGACAAAGTGGTAGAAGCTCAATATCCTTTAGTTGAAATTGATAGAAATGATGATCAGTATCAGTGACCAATCTATATTAGCATTTTGTTGGATGACGATTTCAAAACACGGTTGATTCAACTACTAAAGAAGTATAAAGGCTGCTTTGCTTGGGATTATTATGAAAT